AGTGGAAATTTTTATCTCTTCCAGTAATTAATCTAAAAATGTACAAGCAAACTCTACAGCACTCACACTATTCTATGACAAGTGTTCTGTGCCCAGATGTATCAGCATCACTTATGGTGAGATAGACACTCAAAAAGGAATTATCAGAGAAGATATTGGAAGAGATCAGTTCTATCAGACAATTCATGTCAAATTAGAAACGTCAGCTTTAGTTAATAAATTGGCATCAAATGGCCCCAGATCTTGAAAAGGGAGTTCGTACTTGCTAGCTAGTGTCAACTCTTTTTCAATTCCGAGTGATATTCTCTTCCTGAGAAAACCACTTTCCTGTAATATCTCAAGCACCACCTCATGGCATATGAAGTTGCTTCTGTGGCTAAGACTCAGGCTTTGGAGTCCAGCTTTTGCTGCATGCAAGTTCATCTCAGAAAAGACACATTTTGATTGCATCTGCTTGCATCTTTTAATGAAGGTCAAAGAAACATATGGACTTGGAAAACAGAGTTATAAAAATTTAGGGAAAATCTCGATGCATTTGAGCAGTTTGCTGAGTTTTGTAATATTCCTAATTAAAAACAAATAAAATCAACCCTAATTTTCCAGTATGACACACACTGAATTTTATGTTTAAACTTAGCCACAATTTAAAGCAGCCGACAGCCTCAGAAGAAGGGAGGAACCAGCATTTAAAAAATAACCAGGATTTTCTTAGATCGTCATGTTGACTCTAGGTACAAGTCATGCTGACAAATTATTCATAAGCGAGTTTCCCAAGAACAAGATCCAAAAAATGCCCCAAAGTTCACCAGAAGATGTGCTGTGAATCCATAAAATCTGAATCAGGCTGTTAGATCTGAACACGTTTCTCTTTCACAAGCGAGAAATTACCTAATCGTTCTATCTGGTAACAACCACTCAACAAGAATAAAGGCGTAAAGCAGAACCCAATAACCATCTCTCCCACATTACCATTATTTATCTTTTCTGTGCTTACTGAAGAACTCTTATAAACCCCAAAGTTCACTCTTATAAACCTCAAAGTTAGAGAATGGGAATTCTGTTCATCAGAATGACAAACTCAACTTCCAAGAAATAAAAAAAAACACCTCTAGCATCCTATTCCCTTTTCTTCAATATTAAGAGAAAACAAAATGGCACTTAACATTATTTCTGCATGAAACCATTGAATTTTGAGGTGGCCCAATCAGCAAATTCCCTGTAAAGCAGACACCAAGCAGGTTTGCAAGCCAAGGTCGCACAGAGAAGTGCCAGAACAGAAAGCAATTAAGGTCCCGTTCTTCCCCTCCCTACGCAATGCACCGAAAATGAAATCAACATCCAAACTAATTAGTTTCCAGCAGAATATCAGTTTACTTGCTAACAGGAGGGTGGTTGCTGCTCTTACCAAAAACTTCTAAACATACCATACAAAATCTTGCTTAAGCCACGGGACCAAGCCAGGCACATCCCAATGTTACCATATACGGTCACCAACGTGAATATGATGGCAAGTTGACAGATTTGGAACAAATATTGCGTTGTCTGTCACTGAGATAACATAGGCAGGAAAATATCAGATTGTATTACCTGTGTCCAACCGGAGGTGTGGCATGGCAGGAGCTACATTGCTGCAGGACATAGTCACTAAAGGTTAGTGACCCAAGATGGCATTAAACCACGCAGAGGAGGGCCAGGGCAGGACACTGAAGACTTTTATGCCCAGTATGGGGCTGCTTGGCGAGAGCAGAAATGGAATAACATGAGGGGTGAGCAGCTGGACCTACACTGTTATCCCAGGTAAAGAGCAGACATTTTTCGTCACGGGAACCAGGCTGAAGCTGCTGCCCCACGCCTTGGCTGTCAGCTGGAAGGCACAGTCCCTCTTAGAAAACCACAGCACACAGGTTTTGCTCTCCAAGAGTGGGTTTTGAGCACACAGGCGTTCTAGTCTTCAGCCACAAGGGAGAGAGAGGTTTAGATATCTACTGAAATAGCTCCCGAGGAGTTTTTGGTACAGACTCCCTTCAGGAGATCCTTAGCCTAGAGTCAGATTGGCCACTGAGAGTTATTCCAGACTAAGTTTTTTGGAAGGGTTATTCGAGTGCATTTTCAGGTGTACCCAAGCCCTTGGTCAAAGTCTTTCAGTCTCAACCCCAAAAGCATTGGTTCAAACACAGCTATCTCACCCCTTATCCCTTCAAGCACAGACAGTTCTACCACCTGTACCCCTAAAATCAGACCTGCTCTCTGTTTTGCCTGGATGCTTCAAAGGTATTGCCTCTTTCTTAAGAGTTTATCTTGGTTTGCTAAGATATTGCCTTTTTTACAGTGTCTTGTACATCAGTGGTGAGATACGTTGGTGGGACAGAGCCAGCAGGCACAGATCCGACCCTGGAAAAATGCCCCTTTCTGCTGGGAGGTGGAAAAAAAAAACCCCTGCCACATAAACCCAACCAGTCATTCCTGCAGGGCCCTTTGCCTTAAAAGGTGTCACCTAAATAAAGATGTAAAAATAATACAATGTAACATTTAATGCAAGATTGCAGCTGAGCATTCAACTGTCAGGAAATATCAAAGCTGGAGCGCGTGGGCAACTTAACTCTGCCCCCTTGTGCAGATGCACCACGGCACAGCCCTACCCCGAGCACAGGCACAGCATTCAGTCGGCTCCAAATTAACACCCTAATTACGGCATAACCTAATTTTGCCTAAAATGAGTAGAAAAGAAGGACCAGCAGTTTCCCAGAGAGCCTCCTCAGCCACCTTCCTCATTTGACTGCCAGCCAGCAAGCACCTATTCAACTTCTGATGTCTCAGATCGGGAGGTGCTGGCACACTTCGAGCCACTCACGTCTAATCTGCAATCAGGACACAGATATTAAATGCTGTTTGACCAAAACAAAGAGCCCTTCTTCCTCCAGAGAAGAGCCTCATGACCTCAGGCTGAGATTTGGCTGAAGGACTGCCTATAAAACCTGAGTGACTGTAACAGGTAACATTTACACATCTCCAGCGGCCAAAGCCCTCGTATGAAGCGTTCAGAAAAACTCTGCAGGCACATGAAAAGCCTGGCACATTTTTCCAATTACCTGAAATTTTCCCAATGTAAACACCTAACAATTGGAGATATTTGTCAGCACAAAGTTTCAAAGTTCTGGGAAGTGTCTCATCTCTGCTCAAAAGTTTGATCTTCCAGCTACCTCCTTCACTATGAAAAAATGTTCTCCTCCTTAAGTAGATCTAAAGCAGGACTTAAACGTCAGAATTTCATCTGTTTTCACAGCAATGACTTCTTTTTCTTCTCTACTTCCCCTCTCTTAAATCAGCACATGAATGAATGACATTTTTCATGGGTTTGGCCCTGGCTTTTAACCTCTGTTTCTAGATAATTTTAAATAACCAGAACCATCTTTCCAAACACAAGATGGGTTTTTCCAGCTCTGAAAAGTGTTCAAATAACCCAATTACCAATATGATGCTAACAAAATTATATTGAAAAGACCTTTCCATAGGAAAAATAATGGTGTACTGAAATTACTGCTGTTAATTTTCTGTCACTTCTTCACATGACAACAGCCCACAGTGCTTCACTTTCCAGGGGCATTAAGTGTACGAGCAAGACAATTGCAAACCAAATTTAAACAGGGTCAGCCAATAAAGCAGCCGATACTCAGCTCACATCAGAGACAAGAATCTTTTTGTCTTCTCCTGCCCACTTCAGATCTTTTCCGGAACTCCACCAACTTCTCAGGTCCATTGCAATAATATACATCCATGAAGTCATCTTAATTCATACACTGCTGCCCATCGCCCACAACTTAAACTGAGTCTCCATTGTAAGTCTTGCCTGGAATTCAGACTTGTAGGAATTATAGCCTATATACTGTTTTCTTTTTCATTCAGTTTCCAGCCAAATCATTTTATAGTGCTTTTGCCTCCATAAAATATTTGCTTGAGAGCCAATGCCAAGAAGAAAAAAAAACCAAAAAAACAGTGCACTAAACCAAACTTGGGTTTTCAGAGTAATGCTCCCCCTCTCCTTTCCCACCCTCAGCCCCCAAGATTTATTTTTGGCAAGTTATAGCCCAAGCAAAGAGCAAGTTTCAACCTTTTAATTCGCAATTCCATCACGCTGGATGACTTGAAGGTCCTACAACAGTTCACAAAACTCTGAGACTGTTGGGAATCGCAGCTGGAGCAATCTGCATCCTGAAGTTGTACCCCCATTCTCCTGGAACAATGCAGCCCTTACTTTGTGACCAGAGCAGGGGGAGCTGAAAGCCTGGATTCCCATTCAGGCTTTCTAAGGACAGCACCCACCAAGGTACAACACGGGCAAAAGTGCAGGAAGCGCCACTGCTCCTTGCACTCTGATCCCAGAGCTTTGCTGAAAGCACCTTGCCCATAAAGAAACTTCTTTCTTCCTACCCCCATCATTCCCAGGTCAACGTATTTCAATTTGCCTCTGGAAAGGTAACCTGTTTATTGAAATCTGATCAACTGCTGGAGCCTCAGTGCTAAAATACACTCTCGCTGTTGGGAACTGTCATTTGTCTGTCACCGGGGAAGTTAATGGATGTGTTTGTTTAGTTTGTAAGTGGGAATACACAGGGCAGAGGCTGGAGGGATTACAGGAGGGTAGAGGTATTTCTGATCCACAGAGGAATGCAGTTGCTTTTCTTTAAAATTGTCTGTGTATTTTTACACAAGCACAAGAAAAGCCCCTGGAAGTTCACCTGTGCCTAACAGACCTCAGCAAAGTCGCAGCAACCACGCTCCATCCCAAACAACGGCCCCGAACCACGCAGGTAAGGAGGCACCACACGTGGGCACGAGCCTGCACCTCTGTGCAGATAAAAAATGTGCAGGGCACGAGTCCCTGCTGACAGCAACTCCCCTGGGTTGGTGCCTCCGGGGGCGCCGCGGGTGTTTACGGAGCCCACGGAGCAGAGGGAAGGGAGAGAGTCACCGGGTGATCGCACCAAGCGCCGTCCCCTTACCTCTCGCCGAGTCCGAAAATGCAATTATCCCTGCGAAAAGGAGCGCCAGCTGCAATTCCATTTTGAAAAACAGATCCCGCCGTATCGCACAGGCTACTGTCCTCTCAAACCTGGAGGCAGGAAAAAGGAGAGCAAAATAGTTACTGGGGGGGGAAAAAACCCAAACAACCTTCTACTTTGCCGAGTTTAAAATCCTACTGAGAAGACTGACAAGAAGAAATAGCAAATAAAATAGCAACGTACTTGTAATTCATTCCTTGGTGCTCCGTGAGCAAAACTTTGCCCTCCTCTCTGCTTTTGCCTGATATAAATCAAAAACCCACTGAGGCCAGTAAGCTCCTCTAAGTTTACAGTTAATGCATAATTCTTTGGTATCCTGTACAGAACCAGTCTGGAAGGCAAACAAAACGCTAGCAAGTGGCCATAAAACAAGATTTCAGGTTAACAATTTGCGGAGGAACTTGGTGGAAGGGGGAGGAGGAATGTTACCTCTCCCATCAGCAGCCCAGAAAACTTTGTGTTGCTGCTCCAGTGCCCCTCAGCCAGGCTCTGCTCTGGGTACGCGCCTTCCTCCACTCCAAGACTTCTCTGCACAGCATTGATTCCTCCTTTCCTCTTCTTCCCACCCCCGCTGCCCCCACCAACAGCCCCTCTTGTTTCCGTGGGCTCCAGAGGTGCGTCCCAAAGCGCAACCACACTTAATTACCCAGATTCTTGAAGATGCCTTCGCTCCGATACGCACACCCGGGGAAGATCAGGTTTACATTAATTACACCCTATTCTCCTCCTAAAACTCTCACTCTCTAAACACTGTCTGGATTCCTCACCCTTGTAAACTCCCCGGTTTAAACACCCCGTGCCCCCAGGACACACAACAACCCGCGCACAGCATCCAGCAAAGCCAGCACGGCCGCTCCGCCGCTCGCTCCGCCGCTGGCGGCGGGGCTGCCGGCGGTAACGGGATATTCGCCGCCGGGAATGGGGGTCGCGGAAGGGAGGGACGCGCGGGGGGACACCCGGAGCGATGCCACCTGGTGCTGCCCCGGGGCTGCGCTGGAGGCTCCCAGCTGTGCGCTACGCGGCCCCGGCGGGGTGTCCCGGTCCGGGGTGTCCCGGCCCGGGGTGGCGGAGCGGGCGGCACTTACCTTGGCTGCTGCCGGGCTCTAACACCGCGCTCCGGAGCCCATCCCCGCCGCTCGCCGCCTCATGCCCTCCGCGGCCACGGCGCCCGGCGGGCGCTCCGCCGCCGGCCTCTACCTCATCCCCCCCTCCCCGGGGTGCCGGGGGCTGCCTGGGGGTGCCCTCCCCACGGAGCGGCTCTGCCCCTTCACCGGCTTTTTAACAACCTCCCCCCCTTCGCCTCCGCGGGCGATTTTTTTCCACTCGAGAGTCACGGGCGAGGAGGTCAGGGAAAGGGGGAAACCTTGTAATTTTTTTTTTTTTTTCCTGCTTTCCGGGCCGGGCTGAGCGTGTGTGTGCGGGGAGGGACAGCGGGGACCTGCCAGAGCCTCCGGGGCTCCGCGCCGCGGGATGCCCGGTGATGCCGTCCGGCGGCTCGCCCAGCCGGAATCCCGTTTAAGGAGCGAGGGGAGGAGGGGAAAGGGGCTGGGGAAGGGGAGGGGAGGGGGGGGAGAGCCGGGGAGAGAGAAACCGGCGATAAAGCAACTTTCCCTGCAGGGCTTTGTGGCGGTGGGGGCCGAGCCGCCGCGGAGGGCGGTGCGGGGCCGCCCCGCTCCAAACTTCGCACCAATCCCCGGGAGCCCCCGGCTGCCCCCGCCCTCCGCCGGCCCCGCTCCCCTTAACCCTTTGCGGGCGGCAGGAGAGCGCTCGGTGCGGGCAGCGCATCCCGCAGCCCCCGAGCTCCGCACTCCCGGCGCTGCGGTTCCGAGCTCGCCGTGCCCCAGAGCTTTGCCCTCCCCGCACCCCCCTAAGCCCAGCGGCGGTGGAGACCTCCGAGCCCGCAGCCCCCCGCACCGCAGGGCGCGTCCAAAGAGAGCAGCTCTCTGCCCCGGCCGTGCGAACCCACCGTGCAGGCGGCGGGCGAGACAAGGGGGGCGGCTGCCCCGTTTTGATCTCTCGGCTTGGATGCAAAGGATGCCAGAAAGAAGCTGGCCTGAACTAAGCTAAACCAAGTGGAAAATAAACTGTGGAGATGTCGGTTCCTTATATTAACTGTTACAATTATTTATTATTTACTTTCCAACATGATTCAGCTGATGCATCCGCTCTTACAGCAAATCACTCTTCACACAGGATCAAAACCAACCTGGCAGAATTCACCAAACAGACTAAACAAACGACAAGAAAAAATACTGCCTCAATGGCTAAACTTTTTGTACCTCAAAAGAAACATCATTACTGTTGATGTTATAGTTTCTTAGATCTTTTACTTGATATGCTCCAGCATGAAGACCTCCTTGAAAACAAAGTTGTCTCAATACTAGCACCAGGAAAACGCCTAAACCCAAGCCAAGGATTAGTTTGAACATCTATCTTCTCTATTTTATTAGTATTATGAAATCACACCCTCTATTTTTATTGTTACTGCTAAATATTTTTACTGAGTAGTTCCTGACAACATTAAATCTTGATACACAAAATCAATGTGAAAAACATGTAAGACTAAACATATAAACCCCTTGAGCCAGAAGCAAAGTGGCTGACAACATTGTTTTTGTATTTTACATATTTATATCATCATTTTTATCATTAAAGTTAATTCAGCTGAGAAATCCCAGATGGACTCCTCTTCCTCCTATCAGGCAGTAACTTCAGCCTCATTGAGTTCAAAGACAGTGTTGACTGAAGGAAACCTTCAGGATTTAAACCTATATGGTCATGGTCATGCCATGCCTTCTGATAAAGTCACTCTAACTTGCACCAGAATGAGAGCTCAGCTTCATGCTACATCTCAGGGGATGATGTATAAAACACCTCTTTGTAACATTTTCCAGCCATTGCACTCCAAAGGAGTCAAGGTCCTTGTCCCAAGGACATCACCACACAGTCCTAAAACTATCTACACAACCTCTGCTTCTGTGCAGACTGCAGTCCAAAGCAGGCTCAGTTCTGGTGCAGATTTGGGACATTGGTTCACAGGCAGGTTTCCCACCAGGTTAGAGGGATGTGACTGAGCTCCTACTTCTCGTCTTGTTCTCTGAGTCACATGCAGAGACCAAGGTTTAAATCCCAGATACACCATGACTATCTTGTCTCAGACTGTCTGGGCTTGGGTGAGCTCTTTCTGGGCCTCAATCAGCTCTGGAAGAAAAGACCTTGTTCCAACCCAGGATGTGCCCAAGCTCAGCACCGAGCACCCAGCTCAGGTTGGGCATAGAGGATAAAACTCCCCTGATGGATCCACTCCTTCCATCCTCACTTCCTTATTGAAAATCATGTGTGCCTTTGGAGGCACCAGCATCTCCCAGACTGAGAATTTCTCCTTGCAGTACAAATACAAAGCAGAAAAATCTCTCCTGCAGCCTTCCACCAGTGTGAAGCTTTGGGAGATGGATTACAGAGGTGGTACACAAGAAGTTAAAAATTGTTCAGCTGCCTCAACACCTTCAGATGCTCTTTAAGCTCCTTCCTTAGGCATATAGAAGCTCTTTAAGAATCTGGTTCCAAGTGATGTTGCAAAGGGATTACATGGGGCAGGGAATGGAGCCCACAACTTCCATACCCCAGGCTAAAGTAACCGGAAAATAAACCTTTCTGACATCAAAATGTCAACACTATTTTAAATTTTTTTTTCACGGACTTGTGCGTGCCTGAAAGAAAGTCTGAAACCATGCTGTAGGCTTCATCCATCTCAATCCCAACACCATAGCAGAGAAATAAATGTAAAATATTGATACAAGAAAAATAATTAATATTCCTGAAACAGCTCCTAGTTTATCAGAAACAAAATCTCATGTTGTTTTCCTAACACTTCTACCTAAAAAAGGAAACATGCAGAGCTGTGTTTTTCTTCTGGGCTGGCTGTAATTTGCAGGATGATTGAGTAGTCTGAAAGTCAACAGCCCCAGTTTGCTCCTGCACCCCACGGTCCTGAGACAAGGCTGTGGGAAAGCAGCTTTCTGGAGCTGACAAACAAAAACGAATGCTAAGCAACGAAATACGTGTCTCCACATGGCCTGAGAAGCAGCCTAACAGTCCATTTGTATCCCAGTTGTCCCCAAAGCCCTGTTTCCGGACCACGGCTTTTCAAATTTTGCATAGCTGTGATGGTCTAGTGAACATCCATCCCCAGAGTGACTTTCCTTATGTCTCCAAAACCACAAACTGGACTTTTTCCAGCTTTTTTATCTCTTTTCTCACAGGAGCTGCTCACCTCCACTATCACAGAACTCCACTTTCCCGCATTTTCTCCCTTCCAACTTGATTGTTCTTTTTCTTTTCCCCTGCAGATGACCTGGGGGACGCAGCATCTCCAGGCTGTAATTCCTAACCTGTTCCAGCGATTTTGTTTCCAGCTGCAGGTGGCAGCCACGCAGCCGGATTCCGGTGACACCCAGCACTCCACAGGGCTGCAGTGATCCCGGGGACTGGTGCTGGCAGCAGTGCCTTGCCCAGGAGCACGGGGCCCCGTGGCACGGGTCCATGGGGACATGCCACCGGGGCGGAGGGCGTGCGGGGCTGGGCGGCTCCGCGCAGCTGACGGAGCACGTGAAGGTGATGGAAGGGCATGACCAGGATTAGCTCATTCCCTCCACCTGCCAGCCCGTCCCGGCAGCGCTCCTCTGGTTACCCAGCCACGTGGGGTCAACCTGAGCATCCCTCCCGGATGCCTGGGGAAGGGGGGTTGCTCTGGATGCAGGGAAAGGTAAGTAACGTGGTTGATGGGGCAGAGGGAAGGCTTCCCTGGGTGCATCAGTTCTGATAAAGCATTTGGCATGTGACAGGGCAGCACAGAAAATGTCACAGCTGGGAAGACAAGGAGCAAAAAATACACTTTTCCATTTGCACAACTCCAGTCACTGTGCTGCTCCATTTGGGTCTATAGTTAAGGCTGAAATGGTGTTTTTCAGAGAAAGCAGTGTTGTATGAGAGCAGAATCACTATCTTCTATATGTGGTAACTGAGACCTAGCCATAACCTAGATAATACTCCGAGGGGATGAACAGGCAGATGGAAAGATCAAACAGGGTGACACAGTACTGAAATCTATGTCATGTGTAAATACACATTTCATCCCTTGGAGTAGCTTTGTTCTAAGCAGTGTTGCAAAGAAACAAATGGTTCATCATATGCACATGGTTCACTTTTATACATGAAGCATGAATGCCAATGTCTGACAGAGAGAAAGGATGATAACAGTGTTAGATGTCCTATCATCCAAACCTTGGATCCTGTACAGAATGCTGGGACGTCCCACTTGCCATTGTACCAGAACTTTCATGGCTTTCCACAGGCACAAATGATCCCTCTGCTACCTTGTGGTCTCTGTGCTGGTCTGA